TGCTTGTTTGTTCCGGGTTTTATGTTGTTATTTACGCATGTATGTCTCAGATATATATGCATCTGTGCTTGTTTTTTTTTTCTTTTGTTTTACCATTATTATTGTTATTATTTTTTTTTCCTATTTTCCCTTGTAGGCAGTGATGCAATGCTAGTGAATGGTGGGGATGGTGATTCCACAAATAAAGTGGGCCACATATGGGGTGGTTTAATATTTTTGTCATGCTGCATAACTTCCATTATTTATGTGCTTTTGGGCCTCTTTGCTTGTCGGCGTCTAATTCGATCGAACTGGCGCTGGGTGATGATTGTGGCCCTCTACTGGGTAGTTGGCATGCTGCACGCGTTCCTATCACTCGCTATAATTTGTGTGGCGGTGGCATGTATATTTTGGACCTTTACTGACAGGGATATAGATACCATCGAGACAATTGCGTACTCAGGAGTTATGGTTGTGCTGACAGTATTCTTTGCTCTTGGACGGAAGTCAATTGTGTATGCATTGTAGGGAATAAAAACAAGAATAGCTACACACACACACAGTATATATATATATACGTACTTGGTCATCACAAGTGAGATGCACTCTTTGTTTTTTGTTGTTTTTCCATTCCTTTGCTTTTTTGTTTGCTTGTCTTATTCCCCTTGTTGCTTTTGACTGCTTCAGTTTTGCTGGTGGCATTGGTGTTGTTGTGGTTTATCGCCTGCCGTCTGAATTATGTGCTGATGGATGTGGATTCTTGTCCTTTATTTATTTATTTTATTATTACTACTTTTCTCCCCCACCCCCCACCCCTCTTCTCTTGTTTGTCTCCAGCAGTTTGTTTTAGCTGAAAGTGCGAAATGGAGTTTGCCACACAGCTGGAGGGGGAAGGCATGTCCGGAAGCCTGGTCAAGATTTCGGAGCAAGGGGAGCATGTCTACGCTACGTCCTTTTCCCCGGATGGGAAGTTTCTAGCAGCTGTCCTTGGTGATAGTACGCTGGTCATATTGGACTCCAGTACACTGCATGTACAGAAACGGGCCACAATGGGCAAGTCGTACGAAGATTTGCCCAGCACGGGCGTTCGTTGGCTCACGCAGAAGGAGGTTGATCAGTACATCTTGGTTTCCGTGTCATGCGCAGGAGGTGTCTTTCTTTGGACGTGGGACGGACAAAATCTTTATCGTACCGCAAAGATGCACGAGGAGGGCAATGAAATTATCTGCCTCGAGGTATGTTTGGATACCGATGAGTTTCTCACAGCAGGTAGTGATCACATCTTGCGTTACTATGAAGCAGACGGCACGTTGAAAGGGATCTTGTGCAAGGGATTTGACGAAGACGGCTACTCGCGTACGACACATACGAACCGTATTTTTTCAGTTCGGTTTACCTCCCCCACAATGGCTGTTAGTGGCGGATGGGGAAGTCCGATTCAGATCTGGGATATGCGTAGCATGGAGTCCAGGAAACAGATCGTAGGTACACAGGTTGGCGCCGACGGTATTGAACCCATTCCCAATACGACCTGCATTATCGTGACCTCAAAAAGATCGGTGCAACAACTCCAGGTATTTGATTGTGTCTCGGGGGACGAGCTTGAGGAGGCCTCCGCTCGGTTATCCGCCGAAGTAGAAGGCACAATTACCCTGCTTTCACGGTACTGCAAAAAGACGGATCTTCTTTGGATTCTAACAGCACAAAATCATAAAGTTCTCGTCATGTCATATTCTACGGGAAAACTTTTGGCTTCATGTGAATTGCCGATAAGTCCCATGAATTTGCAGCTTTCTGATCACTTTCCTTATCAGGCGATTATTTCATGTGCAGGCGGAAAACTATTCCACGCCACTGTGAAGACGTAGATGCAATATGGACGGTAGAAACATGATGCACTTGCTGACGTGTGGATACTCCTTTCTTTCCCCTCTAAAGGGCGAGCCCTTTTGCCGTTACTGTACATATTTCTACCTTTTTTTTTTTTTTGTCTTGCAAGATATTTTGGGTGTTTTGTGATGCATGCATCAACTCACTTTGGTAGATCAGGTAGGGATACATGCCAATTCATTTGAATATTTGGCTCGACATCTTTGTGTGTGTATTGGAAGCATTACATATGTTTATTGACCAGTTCTGTTCTATACCCCTCATTTTTTCTTTTTTGATTTCCTTTTCCTATGTTTTATGTTTTATATTTTTAGTTTTAGTTTCATTGAGGTGTTCGAGCTACTCCCTTTTCTTCCTTTCAGTCCTTTTTTTTTTTTAAGGTTTCTTTTCGTTTTTTTTTTTTTTTTTCCCCTCTCTTCCTTGTTGCTTGGTGTTGTGCACCTTTGCTCTTTACCACCTTTTTTCTTTTGGGGCTCCAGCAGCAGGCGAGGAGGAGCGGATGAGCGGCACATGACGCTTTTTACAGACGAGGCCCTTGAAGGGCTATTGCGTGAAAACCGTCAGCTTCAGTCACATGTCCGTTCCTTGCTTGGGAGGATTGGGGCGCAACTTGTGCTCACAGATACCCTGCTCCTCGCACTGAGACATAGGGAGCCTGAGAAGAGGCAGGTTAACAGAAATGAACTGCTTGGGGCCGATTTGGACACATGGTTTATGTTTCGCTGCGGTTCCCAGGTGTGTGCGCCGGCGCTCCGCATGCAGCCACCGCCATATTGCCAGGGGCTGTCCCCCAAGTTTCGCTGGAGCCATCGGGCGAGGAGGTCGATGAAGCGACAGGTGGAACGCTTGGGCTTAGACACGGGGGAAACGAGAGATCCTGCGCAGTGGCAGATCGTTGCGGATGCCGTCAACTATGACTCAAAGTCTACACAGTGTATAGACAGTTTTCAATGTTTTTTGCATTATCAGCAGGAAGTGGTGGCATCACCGGAGCCCTTCTCATCTGCGGAGGATAATTACATTGACACGTACAACCCTGGAAGCGGCCGGTGGGGCCAACTTGTGGCGGACATTTTTCGTCAATTTGGCCGTCGTCGTACGGTATTTCAGGTTGCTGAGAGGTACCGTAAGCTAAAACGTGAGAAGTACGAGTACAGTGGTCTCCTTGACGATGCCACTTGGCAAAAAGTAGAGGCACTTATGCCGGGTGTTGCTACCCCTGAGGCGGAACTTGTTCTCGACTGTTCGTGCCGGCTTAATCTGGTCTGCACCATTCCGTGGCCGACGGAGGAAGCTATTCGGAAGTCGTTTTTGTGGCATCGCAAGCCCCAGCGTAACGGGGACGCTCTTATGCTGCGTAACATCTACGCCGTGTTGCTCAGTGACGGGGTCTGCTTTGCTTCCAGGGAGACCAGAGAAATTGCGGTGCGTCTTTTGGGGTTTGACCCGCTCGATCTACGTGAGACGATTGCTCGAGTACGGTGGCGATATGGACAGATTTCAGTGGAGGAGGCGGCTGCGCGTCTTGCGTCATCTGTAGATGAGATGAAGGAGCGCGTGCTGGCGAATGTGTTACGGTGGTACGACAGCGTCTACACCTCCGACTTCTTTCGTTTATCGGTTGCTGTGTTTGGCCAGCGGGATGCGGCCTTGACGTGCTTCCGCATCGCTCGCGAGTATGAGCGATGTCGCGGGAAGACGCCGTCGTATGGTCATCTCCAGTTGCTTTAGCCCTGACATCGCCCCACATCTTGCTGCGGCTGTCTGGATGGAGGAAACAATTGCGTGGCATCCGCCCACCGTTTCATGGGAGAGAGGGATGAAAACACCCCCCCAAAAAAAAACGAAGCTGATAGTTATTTTCACCACTTTCTTATGAATGAAACTCACACACAAACAAACAAAAAACAAACAAACAAAAAAGGCACTTGTTGTAGGGCATTTTTGTTTTTGTTTTGTTCCCAATAATCATGTATGATATTTCATGTGCTTTTCACCTTGTTTGCTGTATTCTCGCCGTGGCGGCGTTCCTTTTTATTAAACCCCGCCTCTTCGTACTTTTGCCTCGAGAGGTGAGGAAGAACCCAGTACTAGAACGTGCACGGGAAAAGGAGGAAATAAAGGCAATCAAAAATGGACCCTCTACAACCTATGACGGAGGCCCAGCGGCTCCAAGAGGAGCAGGAGATACGTGAGCGTGACAGGAAACGCCATTTGGAGAAGGAGGAACGTGAACGACGCATGGCTCAGGAAAGGGAGGCAGCAGAGCGTAAGCAGCGGGAGGAGGCTGAACGCCTTCTTGAGGAGCAAAGGCGACGTATCAAGCAGGAGGAGGAGTGGCACAAGCTTGGGTCAGATATCATACAGAGTCTTCCTCCTGTGCCACCCTCCGTTGTCACCGACGGTATGGTGCAAGCATGGTACCTGGACGAGGAAACATCAAAGCCAACACTTTGTACCGCAAGCCTGAAAAAGGGAAAGAAACGTGGCACTTCGCTCGTGACGCTGCAACAACTAAAGGAGCTTGGTGTTATTTACTACAATGTCAACTTGAATGATCTTTCTATTGTAAGACAATTGGTGAAGGAGCGCCTTTATAAGCATACAGATGAGGTACATATTTCACAGACGTGTAAAGATGATACGTTTTTGGAGCGTTGGTTCCAGGAACACTTCAACGAAGATGAACAGATCCGCATCGTGATTGACGGATCTTGTTATTTTGATGCACGCTCCAAGCAGGACAAGTGGATTCGTATTCATGCCAAAGTGGGTGACTTGTTTATTTTTGCACCTGGTTTGTATCACCGTGGAACACTGGACGAGGACGACTATGTTGCACTATACCGTCTCTTCCGTGATTCCTCACGCTTTGCCCCATTTTTTCGTTCCGATGCAAGGGCGGAGTCGCAAAAGGTGCGCCTGAATTATTTAATGTCACTGAAGAAGGGCAACGTTGCAGCAGAGCTTGGATTCCGCTGAGTGACGCACCCGCATTGGCATAATCATCATCGTCATTGTTGTGGTGACTATTGTACTTTGTACTTGCCGTGTGTATGTAGTGTACCTGGCTGTGGTGCGTGCCGATACCAATCCCTTGCTTAAAGAGGGAGGTGAAGACGCAGAGTTTCCCACTGAGGGAGTTGGGGTGTGGGATCCCGTGCGTGTAGGAAGCTCTTGTATGTTGTGGCTTTTGTCCTCTTCCATTTTTTTTTTGTATGTAAACTTGTGTAGTTTGAGGTGCCAGTAGGCCCATCTTTTTCGTCAATGTCTTTTTTTTCCCTCTATTTTTCTCTTTATTTATGCATGTACGAATTTACATATGCGTACGGAATTGTACTCTGTTTTTTTTTTTTTTGCTTCTTGTATTTTTTCTATTTGTTTCTGTTTCCGGTGTTGCACTACACACCGTCGTTCATGCACGTTATATACATAGCACGTGCGGCATGGGTGAAGTGTAAGGGTGATGCTGACGGGGGAAGCGATAGCGCAGACGACACATATCGGACCCACCGACCTCACCGCACTGCTTGTGCAGGACAGCGTGCAGAGTTTTTGTCCACTGCGGCATAATGGTGTGCGTTTTGGTAGAGTTTCGCATGCATTTGGGAAAACAACGATGAACGCGAAGCATCACTGCTTGCATTGGTCGTCGACAGACCCGACACGAGCACCAGCGATTTTTTTTCCTGTAGTAGGAGATGCACTTCAGCGTGACGGCACGGATGAATTGCTTCGTGTGGTCAATGATAGGGGTACTGTAACCTACTTTGCCCCAGAGAAGGGGCAGCGGTGTTTGCTTGGACTGGTGAAACTTGTCCAAGGCACTGACGGTGCCTACACGAAGAAGTTTATCCAAGTGCATGAATCATGGTCGTTTCATGCGCAGATGACTTCAGATGAGGAGGGTAGCTTTGGAAGTGACGCACATGCCATGGAGTTGTTTGGCAGAAAATTGGTCATGTGGATCTTTAGCTATTATGCAAGGGTCTCTACTGCGCAGCTTACACTTCACCAGCTGGAAACCGCATTTCCACTCCTTACTTCGGTGACTGCGCAAGAGCGTCGTCGCTTCGTGGGCGGGGCTCTGACCCGCTTTGCCGGTGGACGACTCTCGTTCTATGACGACCGTGTTATTGCTTTGAAGTCGGTTCCTGTCCACGCACTCTCTTTACTCTCACCGGATGAGTTCAGAATAGTGACATCCATGGAGCAGGCGACGGTTGCTTTTATGTTCAAGTGTCAACTACAACATGACGAAGTCCTTGAGGCATTGCACACCATCTTGGACACGTGGGGGAAACGTGGCGCCGCGCTAGCCTCATCGCTTATACGATTAGCTGTTACAGTGCTTCTTTCACATGCCGTTGGTACCTGTGCCTTGTTGCCGCATGGACTACGAGGCTGGCTACGCCCCTTTGTCCTTCATTACTTGCCAACGCTACTAACACTTCAGGGGGAGGAGTCGTTTGTTGGGAAGCTAGTCACTTTTTTGCGGCACTCAAAAACTCCTAAAGGATCCACGTTGGTTGCTGTGCGGCGGAGAATGGAGGATATCATGCGGAACGAGGCAATTGCTGCAGAGCCGTCAGCCACGTGTGGGGAGCGTGAGGGCAGAGCTGAGCTGGATGAGGGATATTTCTTCGAATCCGTTGCGCCGCTCCCGTCAGTGGGCTCCAAGGTGGTGTGGAAGATTGCGAAACTTACGTTCCGTCACACAACTGTCCCGCCTCCAGCGACGTATGCGTTGAAAAGCGTCCCATTTAACGGGTCAGCACCGGACAGTCTCTTTTCTGTCGTTCTTTTTTCATCGTCACGCCTGCATTTGTCACGTCCCTTTCTGAAGTCTGTTGAGGACGGGGAGTTGTGCTTGAGCTTGAACCTTGGAAAAGTCGCCTCTCACACAGAGCTGGACGACGAGGTGGTGTGGCCAACCGCGAGAAAGCGGAGACGTGGGCGAGGGCGCGTGTGAACCTGTCAGGGTAACAGCGGTCTCTGAAGCGGCAAGGAAAAAGACAGTGGCGAGGGACAACGTCGTTGCTCACAAGAAATATATACGTAAATACAAAACAAAAAAGAAAGAAAAATAAATAAAAAGGAAATAAAATAACAAAAACCAAAGCGAAGAAAGGCGTTGGGATCTCGCTTCGATGGATGAGCGTGTGTCATTTCATTCTTGTTGTTGTTGTTATTGCAGGAGCGGAAGTGGGCCGGAGGCGGTGGGTGGCTTCCGTGTTGATGATCTACCCGCTTCAGTGGTATTTGTGTGTTTGCCGACCGAGCTCTCGCCGTGGGCGTTGCCACCAGCACATTGGGCTCTGTGGTGTGTGGGTGAAGAAGCAGAAAAAAAGAGGATGTGTGTGTGGGAGTGTTTAAGCTTGCCTCCTTTGTCCCGTCGTGCTGGCTTTTGAAGATAGGCGAAGGCAATGCGCGGTGACTCTGTTTGGCGAAGCTCGGTGGATCACACGACGTGGGAACACGGCCAAGTTGGTGGATTTACTGCTCCCAGCGCCGCGCCACGGATTCGATGTGCGGGTCAGGAGCGAGCATTAGTTACTACGAAGGCAAATCGCGATCGCGGCGTTCCACGACAACAAGTCTGCTGGCAGTCTGTTGGTAAGCGGCCAGGAATTCCCGAGGTGATTGACGGGCCACTGACCGAGCCCTGGGTGCCGCCGAGCGAGGCCCAGTTGCTCATCTGCAGCAGATCCAAGGGGTGCCCCTGTCTGTCATGTGAGAAGCGTCGGAGGTGCCAAAAGTTTGGCTGTGTTCCGAGGATGGGCCGTAGCCAATGAAATTATCAAAACAAACAGACCACCTCCGAAACATCTAAAACAGCATTAACAAACGTGTGCCGTGTGGCGGTGCACGGTGACGGCGCGCGGGGTGGCGCCTTGGATTTCGTGCGGAAAATTATCTTGTGAATGCAACCACACACACACACACACACACACACACACACACAAACGCGTCTGGGCAATGGTGGTTGTTGTTTATTATGTCGCCATGGGTATTCTTGTTATTGCTTTCTTCTTCTTTTACTTATTGGTTGCGACGAGGTTTTTCTGTTGGGGGTATGTGACGCGTGCATGCAAGCAGATAGAGAGAAACCAATAATAACAAGAAGAAAAAAAAGAAGAAGAAAAAAAAAGATACATAGTATTTTTTGTCACCGTTGCGCATGAGCGGAATGAACGTACCGTCTGAGGAGCATTCCCGGAATTCGGCTCTTTCGGCCACTTCCTCTCGAGGTGGGGAGAACAACGCGTTTGACTCCAACGAGCAAACAAGCGTGGACGATATGATTGGGGTGGTGGAACCGCTGACACACGCGCCTAAGCCCTTGTCGCTCATCAATAAGAAAGTTTCAATGCTTCAGGAAGGCAGTATTCCCTCGATGCACTCTCTCCTCTACACCGTGCCGCACCTGTACACGCTAAACGAAAATCATATTATGGGCTTAAACCTGATGTTGCGTGAGTACAGTGCCATGGACACTATCATTGATGAAGGGAGTCTGCTAACACACGTCTTTGTGCTGGTCTCCGGCACAGTTGAGGTAATCAACACAAGGGTTGGTCGCACATCCATCGTCGGCCACCGCCGCATTGGGAGCATTAGCGCACCAAACATTTTTGGCATTGATAGCGTCATATTGGAAAAACCATTGGAGTTCTCGTATCACGCAAGTTCCCTGACATCATTACTCCTTATCCCAAAGCGGCAGTTCTGTGAACTGTTTGCGCTTTCTTCGATGTTTGCCAGCAGCGTTTCGATCCAGATTGTACAAACACTTTCCACATTTGCGGTATTTGAGGATTTTTGCCGTGTACTCTTTGGGTTATCGTCAACATCGGTGCCTGGAACGCGCAGCTTTGGCGAGGGCGGATACAAGTTATCTATGCCCACATCTGTGAGTATTTACGAGTCCAGTGAGACGGTCCTGCATAGTTTCATGCATTCCACGGTAATTGATATAGACGCGCTACACTACTGCGTTAAACGTCTACCGGAGAACATCACGGAAACCTTTGTGATTACCCTGTCGCGCAGCGTACCGACTCACCTCTCCGATGGATTGGGCTTCTCAACCACAATGTCCCTTGAGGCCACAAGACGACGGAGAGGCGCGTGGAAGATCGGTGAAAACGGACAAGTTCTTGTCATGGCGCGGGATGGGTTTACAGACATTATAGAGTTTGTCACCGACTTGTGTATGCTGATTGTAGAATCGAAAAAAATACGGCTGCGTTTGCAGCGACTTGCCTGCCCACTTGCCACTGACTTTCTGCGTGATTTACTCGCCGTCGCTGACACGGCATCGGATGCTACGGTTAAGGCGGTTCTCAGCCAATTGCCCTTTTCCGAGGCGGAAATTGATGGATTGATGCAAATCTGGGAAGGGCCCGAGGTGATCAAGGTGTTGTACAACATTTTGCTGCGCCGTGGAGAATTTGTTGTGTACGTGGATGTGAACTTGGCGAAGAAATTCTCACAGGATCCGTATCAACGATGGAGTCTCTGCATCAATCGACACATCCGGGAGGAGCTTGGTATCGGTGGCGAGGACGTCTTACCGTCGGATTTGACGATTGATGTCATGTTTTCTTCTAACATCACCATTAAGAGCCTTTTGTGCTCCCCCACAGAGGAGTTTAGGCTGTTGCTAGAAAAGTATCTGGCGCTTCCGGCGGAGGTCACCGCGCTGAAAAATGTGGATGATCGTTACCTCTACGCACTGGCACAAGTTTTGGGGGAGGATACCTCCGTGCGGGAGAAGTATCGTCAAGTTTTGGAGGGCTCAGGCTTCACCATGATGGAGGATTCGTACATTTCAGGGCTTGTTGTTGACCTCATCAATATCAGTAAATTGCAAGCCTCGGGCATAGATGCCACTTTGCGTCACGCCGCATTGAATCAGCAGAGCATGAAAGGAAATGGTTTTATTATTAACATCGATCGAACGTTTGCTGCGCAGGTTGAGATTATTTTGCGAAGTCTCGTGCTTGTTTTTAGCGACCACATCCGCAGCGTGAACCTTACCGGCAGTGTGTCTGGCCTGGTGGGTAAGCGTGGGGATGTTGTCCTTCCCACTAAGCTGATCTTTTCAAAACAGTCCTTCGGCGAGGACTCTACCGACGAGACACGTGTGTGCAACACAGACGACATACAGGAAGAAGATGTAATTCCATTTTTGGACCTAGGCAGTTCAGCGCTTCACCGGGGTGGGTGCGTCACGCTTCCTGGTGTTTTTCTGTACAGTGACTCCGTCTTGCGCTTCTACAAGGTGGTTCATGGTTGCACGTCCGTGGACATGAGGAGCAGTTATGTGGCGCGGCAGCTTGAGGAGAGTCGCCGCACAGGGATGCTAAAGCGAGGTGTGAAGAGACGCTTTTTATTTCACATAGACGCAGTGCCTCTTAACGGTGACGGGGAATCTGAGCCAAAGTCGAAAAAGTGTGAAGTATTGTTTTCTATTTATGCAACCACCCGTTCTCTCCTACGTTTAATTCTTTTTTTCTGAAGTGTGGAATGTTGTTTTATTTTTTATTTTTTATTTCCTCTTTTTTACACCAACCCCGAAGCTGAACCCTCCGCAACTTCATCCTTGGAAAAGGTGCAACTTCCCGTATTTTGTTGCTTTTCTTTCATCTCCCTTCACCCACTTATTTTATCTTTCTTTTTCTTTTTTCTTTTTTTGCTTTTGCATAGACAAATGTGATGTGCTTTGGTTTGTAAATATGAGTTTGCAGGGGTAGAGGTGATCGCTTTTGTCCCCACCCCTTCTCTTCTTGACACGAGAGATTTTGTCACCGACAGGTGCATCCTTTGACAGCTGACGCACTTTGCTCATGTGTATTGTCTTGGAAGTCCCTTGTGGCGTAGCTGAGGCTTGGCGGCAGGTCTTGGGCTCACGCCGAGGTACGTGCAGAGCCCGTTGAACATTTGCTCTCCACTGATGAGGTAAAACTTTTTCCCTCTTATGAAAGCATCACCTTTTGCAGATGTCGTCACACGATAATATCCGCTAACGCCGATGCTAAGTCCTCCAAAAGAACCTTTAACATATTACGCCTTTACGAAGAAACATGTTCTGGTTCTGTCAGCCACAGCAAGCTCTGACGGGGGAATCCGCAGTGGCACTGCGTTCCAGAAGCGATGAAGCATCTCTTTGTGTCATCAACGAAATCTTTATCTTCACATTGTCATTTATTACACTATGGAAAATACTTTGCTTTACTCGGGTTGTGGATTTCTGCGGTGCTTCTCTTTTCCATGTCAATCGCTTTCGATTCGGCACTGCAGGTCCATACCCCATTTAGTTGTATGCGTGTGGTAAATACCGATCGACTGTGCCCAAACATTTTTTTTGACTGAAAGGGAGCTCGAGTGTATCGTGCGGCTGTTTAGTGCCACGTAACTTTTCATTATCATTATTGGAGGTTTATTTGTTTTGTTCCTTTTTTTTTTGGGGGGGGGGGGGGCTTTGGAATGACGTTTGTGCCTTTTTCTCTCTGTGCCTGTGTGGATGTGTGGGTGTGCATATAGGCGAGTTGGTCTGTGGCGTGTGGTCCGCGGTTGTACGTGTTAATTTTTGACCTGAGGTGTGTCCTTCTGAGAACGGCCACTGATTGCACGAATTTATGCGTTTCTTTTTTTTTTTCTTTGAGTTTAACGTTCGCTATTTGGCTTTAGGTTTGGTTCACCTTTTTTTTTTCTTCTCTGAGTTTAACGTTCGCTATTTGGCTTTAGGTTTGGTTCACCTTTTTTTTTTTTGTTTCTTTAGTGTGTGGGCCTGCGTTCTTGTCAATGTCTTGGGCCGCCCTTGGGAGACCTGCGGCGGTGTGTGCTACAGTGGCTGCGGCAACCACGTTCTGGTTGCATCGTTGCGCCCCGGCGGCCATGACGCAGGAGTCCCCGACACTTGTGCTGGACAGCCCCCCATTGGGTCCCCTTTGGGACTTTATGTCTTTTTTGGACGCGCGCGTGGCGGAGTGGAAGGTGGAATCTAGCAGCTTTCCGAAGCCCAATGCGGTGGCTCGGTTGAGTGACGAGCCCAAGGTGCAGGTGCTGCGATTGGGTTCCTCCTATTTACCAGACTCAAAGGGTGGGCGCCCAATACCTTTCATGCGCGTTGTTGGATTTTTTCCTGACGCCCTTCCAGAGGAAATCTTCAGGTTTATGACGGATCTTCAGCTTCGGCGAAGGTGGGATCACAATTATCACATGTTTTGCAAGTGGGACCCTCCCGTAACGGTGACTGCTCCGGAGTCTATGACGGCGGTTAAGCGGCCTATTGAAACGGTTGCAAAGAAGACACCAATTTGTCGTGGCGACACCTGTCGTTTGGTTCCCGATATTGAGGAGGAAGTTCTTGAACAAGGATGGTTTGCGCACCGTGTTGGTCACTCGCTTCTTGAGAAATTTGGTATGGCCGATCGCCTATTTGCTTATCAACGCCGTTCTGTGTGCTACACAAAGTCGGGTTGTGCTTCGAGCCCACTGAAGCTCTATGATGTCCTCTATAGTGGCAGTGGCGAGACAGTGAAGAAGGCCGCTGAGCAGTCCGAACCATTTGCCACATGGCTACATTCGTGCGAAAGCGAGCAGGAAGCTACTCGCGTCAGTGTAAACTACCAACATATTTTGATTATTCCTATCGCGGATGCGGCAATTCAGCTTTGGGCAGATCCATTGCCCTTCTCCTTTGCTGGGAGTATGGTGGATGAGAGGACCACAAAGCTCATATACGACGCCTTCATGGCGAGTGAGCGTCTTCACAGGGAAACAAGGCGGTTGGATGGGACGCTTATGATCATGACATCGGCCAACGATGTGCAGATGCCTAGCGGAGTTCCAATGTGGACTCAACGAATGCTTGCCACCTTTTTTTCCAATTACGCGCAGCGTGAAATGTTAAAGGCGGTACGAGCCTATCGGACAAAAGATTAAAGCATGATTGAGCTGCATGACGCTGCTGTGAACTTTGTGCATTGAATGCACAACTAATTTCATAACTGGTTTATTGCTTTGTGAAGTGTTTCTAGTCGTGTTCTTTAAAAGAAAAAGAAAAAAAAACTCCATCTTTCTCCTTTCACTCATCGGGGTTGTGTCGCCAGACGTAACGTGATGATGATGATTATTATTATTGCCATTATTATTATCTTGCAGTTTCTTCTGCTGCAGCACGATAGATGAAGGGAAGGGAACTCCGGCGATTGGTGCTTCACGTTTTATTTGGCCAGGTTGTGGCCTTCTTAAACTCCGTCACCGGGGTGGCCACGACAAAGCTGGTATCTCATAATGCCAGTTATCCTTTGCTGCAGTTGTTGACGGCGTACGCCTTTATCTTTGTCGTTTATGCACCATTTCTTCTTGTGCTGTATTTTCGTAACCGACACCGGAAGTTTTCAAACTTTGGGTTTTTCTACCGGCCGTGGAGGTACGCTGTGCTGGCCATTATTGACTTGGAGGCGAACTTTGTCATTGTGAAGGCCTACCAGTACACAGACATAATTTCGGTCCAGCTCTTGAGCTGCTTCAACATCCCGTGTGTGCTCGTCTTGAGCATCTTTGTCCTGAAGATGCGTTTTGCACTCTCACACTTTCTTGGCTGTATCATTGCCACAGGTGGATTAGTGGTCCTCATTGTCTTGGACGCTGATGGGGTTTCCCGAGATACAGTGGGGCCTAACGTTGCGAAGGGTGACGTGCTTTGCTTGCTTGCCGCTGCCCTTTACGCAACAAGTAATGTTCTCATGGAGTGGTTTATCAAACCACGCCCATCACTTATACAAATTGAGAATGCGCAGACCGCGGACGTCAATCAAGAGGCAGCAGTGGCCAATCCGTCCGTTGCCCCCAGCATGTCATCTTTTCGTGAGGTGCAAATGACGGGGCAGCACAACAAATCTTCGACGCCGCCAAGCAATGTGCGTTCCATGGAGTCAAACCGAGAAGAGCACCAGGGGCAGCTTTTGGAGGAGGAGGAGGAGGAGGAATGCGTAGCGGAAGTTCCAAAGTACATACCATTTGTGGAAAATCTTGGCTGCATGTCCAGTTGTGCTCTTATTTTTGCCGTAATTCAGTTTTTTGCTGTGGAGTGGAGGTCATTTGCACCGGCTCAAAACACATGGACAAGTGAGGACTGGCTGTACCAAATGATGTTTGGTTTGTCGATGCTCTTTGTATACACTGGGCTACCGTTTTTATTTTTGATTGCAAGCGCGGCGTTTGCCAATGTGTCGTTGCTATCAGTGAGTGTGTACAGTATCATCTGGAATGTGACCATCTTTAATGTTTACCCCACTCCCGTGTTCTTCGCATCGTATGTGATTATTATCATAGGCATTGTTATGTACGATTTGTCCAATGTTCGCTGGAGTTGGTGCCCTCGTATAAATTACCCTTGCGGTGACCCTCGCGAGGGCTTTGGTGTTCCGGTGGATACGTTGAGCGCGCCTCCAGACTCCAGAGAATGGGATGAAGCACGTTAGGGGAAACAGTGCTCAATACCCGGAACCACTAGTAATATGCGCCATGGGGTCGATGGGCTCCAAGAGATAGAAAGAGAGAGAATGCATGTGTGTGTGTGTGTGTGTGTGTGTGTGTGTGTGTGTGTGTGTGTATGGGTAAGAAGGTGGTTAATTCCTTTCCAAAGCAGGACAGGTTGGGCGCACACTGGACCAAACTGTGATCTTTTCTACATAACATATTTTTTTTCTTTGCTCTTTCCGCAAATGGAGAGACATGACCCAATCTAGGCGCATGCTGTTTATCTTTCTTTTGCTTTGTGGTCAGCATGCCTTAATATTTTTTGTGAGTAACCACTCTCTGTGAGGTCCGGCGCGGCGAGCAAACACTTACAAACAAACCACATCTGTCTCACGCCTTTATGTGCAGGCTCACACACATACACACATACACACACACGCACACACATACGGAAAAAAAATAGAGACAAAATAAATGTTGATACCTTCACTCCGCTATCTTTAAAGAAATTTTCAACTGGGATTTCGTGACGAATAGGAGGAAGACAAAAAACAAACAAACAATAGGGACATACAACAACTAAAGGAATGACTGATTTAAGTGGCACCCGGCCAGGGACAACGTCTTATCCTGTCGGGATGACCGGGGAAAGACCTCCGGGGGACACTTATATGGAATTTTGGGGGGTTTCACCAGGCTTGTTGCTGCCTGAAGTGCGGCAAAGAGATTCTGTGAACTTGGAGGATGATGATGATTACAGCTCGGACAGTTCCGTTGGTGAACACTCTCAGCAGCAACTACAGCAACCGCAACGACAACAAGAGGCGCGTTTAATGGCTCGGCGCAGGCGACCACCAAGGCCTACTTCGACTGCTGAGGTGCGTGATATAGCTGCGAACAGATGCGCTGCCGTTTATCCGGAGGCATATCGTTATTGTAACAAGCCTATGCAGAAGAACCTGTGGAATCAGGCACGTGGATTTTATCCATTTGGTTATTTGCATATGGGGGCAGAGGGTATGACTTCTCTGAACTTGGAGGATTTGGTGAAGTATAGTTCTGCGGATGTTCTCTCTAGGGCGTGGCCCTTGCTCCCTGCTAATGCCAAAAATCTAACTTTTGCCCCGTTTTCACCTCTTCCAGAGATTCCCGATATATTAAATGTGCGTCATCCAGACACGGATCAAGTCGCCCGTTTTATGCGACTTACTGCTGTTGAAATTACCCGACGCAACACACTTCCCACTCTAGTTTTCCTTCGCTCATTGCTTGTGAAGGGAGCTGTTAGTCTGAGGGCAAAAAAGGCGGCGGATGCTTCTGTTGCTCTTACCGCATACTCCGAGGACTTGCTATGCTCGAACTGGGAAGATGAGGGCTCAGAAACTGCTGAAGGAATGGATGATGACAATAACCGTGTGGATGGTGAAGGGCGGAATTCGGGTGATGTGGATATTCCTTTCAATGACGTTTATCACGTGGATTCCCTTGATTGGACCATGGCTGTTTTGTATGAATCGATGCAACCCAAAGTAAGTCTACAAGTTCTTCGTTTTCTTCATAGTGTTGTGGACCGCTGTGGTTTGAACTCTGCAAGTGCGACACTGCAATCATGGGGGTTTCAGCGGTTGACGCGGATGCTGCTTCTCCAGGCTGAAAGGGAAACCGCCTCGGCGCGGGGATCCGGCAACCGTCAAGGTGACGCCTGGTTGAGGAGTGCAGTTGCACTTTTGTTTAAACTTGTTTTGGCCTCCAAAAAACTTGACATGCTTTTATCTCTTTTTAGGTGGGTCTATCGTAACCCAGAGATGGCAGAGGAATTACCACTACACGGAATTCGGCCATGGATCATTTCTATAGAGGCATTTATGCTACCACGCATGCGGCTTTCATTTCCCTTCTCTCGGGTAAAGTCATACATTCCGCTGGCTCATTCACTCGGTTTGGACTTTTCACGAAACATTCTTGGTGTTTGTGTCGTGCTGCACAATGACGAACCACACGGTATTCTCCTGACAAGGAATGGAATTTACAAGATGCTGTTAAAGCCACCCTACAATTTTCTTGCCAGGAATGAGGACAATCATCTGAAGGAATGCCACGGGGTTTTTCTGGAGAATGACAAGGTTGCTGTACAGTCGGAACGCGCCGGGGTGGTGACATTTTACGACGTGGAAACGCTACAGGTGCGCCATGTGCTGGACGTCCGCGGTGCTCAGGCAACTGAGGAGTTTCAGGTGTATTACGGAATGGGAAAATTTGTGTCACTTCATTTTTTCCACGACGCTCATTCACCTTTGTTTGCAGGCTTTGACCCATCTATGAAAATAACAGGGACTGTGGAGCCGAGTGTGATTCATATTGCACCTCTGACACAATCTCTTACTGTTCAGTTCTTTTTGTATATTCAGCCAACTTTGCAAAGCACCTCACTTGAGCTTATTAACCTAAATTTCTCTGGAAGGGATTGGCTTTCGGTGCGAATAGAAGTGGACGGAAGCAACTCATGTGTATGCATTGCATTTGCTCACTGTGGTAGTGTGATGACAGAAATTCAGGAGGCTATGCAGGAGGGATGGACCCTGTGGAGCGCCACTCTAACTTCTTCGAATAATGTGGCAGGCTGGAATGTCAGCAAGGATGGCGTGCCACTCGAGAGCAGTGGAAGCGAAGATGTTATGTTTAAAACGACTGCACCAGCGGCGGCTTCTATTCGCTTTTTGGAAGGGTCATTTAGTGGATATATCTCTGGGTTTCAAATATGGCACCGAACCGAGCCTATCAGTGAGCTTGTTACAAGCGAAGCCGAAGGCTTTTTTCGCACGTCCGAGACCAATCTGTTATGCTCTTTCAAAATGAATGAGGGTGCTGGATGCTGTTTTAGAAGCGCTAACGGGACGCATGTTTGGCGGGGAACAGCTCCAACTTGGCGTGCGCCGCAGAAGTCAGCCCGCAGAAGGGCTGTGGAAGAGTCGGAGGTGATCCCATATATTCCTGCCGCGGATTATTATGTTGTGACGAATGAGTGCGAAATCGCTATAGTGGAAAATGGATTTTGCACGTGGGCAGATGAGAATGGGCGCGTATTGGAGCAGCGATGTTTGAGTGTGAGGCCGAGTGAATTGTACTATTTCTGCACCCACACCAGCCGAATGTATAGTATTGTTTCCGACAAGAGTGGCTTTTGCAGTCTTTGCTGGGTTCAGGCACCATCGTTTCCTACGAGGCATGTGCATGTCCTTCCAAGCATGAAGGAGGGCAGCGCTATGTGTAAGAAAATACATTTTCTTACGAAGGAGGGTCGTCCGCTTACGCCAATTCTGATGTCATATTACTTGTTGCACCAGATATCTACTGTGTTATTAAAAGACATGGTAAGTGGGGTGGATGTTCATCGGATGGCGCAGCTGTTTCATTGCAATGAAGTCTCTCTTCAGACAGTCTCTCGGCTTATTGATATATGCGAGGAGTTGATTGACACCATGGTTTTCTCGGACGTGGAAAACAACTTTCACTTCATACTTTTATCTGTCTGTGGATGCTTGCTGACGCAGCAATTAAAATGGATGGGGCGGGCGTGTCCGCCGAGGCTGGTTTCTACGGTGGTGAGTATGTACGAACGAATTTGCGGGAACCCATGTGATCCCGAAAGTTTTTTGGCCGAGGTTCAGAGTGTTTTTGAAATACTTCATCGTGTGTTTCTTGTCGAATGCGTTAGTCACGACTATCAGTTCCAGCGCATGATAGAGGCTAAGCGGCTCAAGGACGTAAAGGACCTGCTTGTTCCCGAGTATCTCCCCTCATTGGTGGCAAGCGTTATTGAGAAGGATTTGAACAAACCCTTCATGGAGTTTCTCAATCGCCTCAATGAGGAGTGCCTTGCGGAGTCCGAGTCTCTATTGAATGGTCAAAATCCTTCGTTTAGACCCTCGACGGCAACACTAGCAACTCTGCTGGGTATTTTTTCACAGAAGAAAAATTGCAAGTGGCACTTGACCTCGATCGCCCTACTCAACTCTTTATGTAAAGGCATTTTACGCATTTTTAGCCGTCTCTTCCCTCCAACCTTGCCGGGAAATAAGTGGAAAGTTGAAGAGCTCGATATGTTAAAGCAGACTTCCATTGGCACCGTCGTGTTCCCCATCGCCCACTTTCTCACTGACCTCGACATTGACACCAGTGTTGCCGTGAAGGTATTATACTTGCTCAACGCAACACGAGAGGCGCTCTCTGCTTATATTCCTTCTGCTCAACTACAGTCTGTTCGTCACTGCTTCACTGAAACGCATAGAGTATTTGCCCCAGCAACAACAACACACTCAACTGTGTTTGACTTGCGCCATGCTTGCTACATTGAGGTGTCATATGAGGGAGCACCACGGGAGACACTTCCACAGGTGCAGGTGTCGCTTGTGGCAAACGACTTCAAGAGGGTATTCGAGAAATTAGATACCGATCGTGTGGCGTTTGCCTCTGGAGGCAGACTTGAAATTACCTCGATACCTACAGGCAAAAATAAGGAAATCACACTTACTGTCAATGCTCAGGTTGAATTACAGACCCAATCCACGGACTGGATTCGAGAGATGTGTTTTGCATTGAGTCAAGCCATTCTCCGTATTACGCATCAACTCCTACTAACCGATCTCCCTGACGCGATTCTCCTCCCACGAGAGAGTCTCTTTCGCGGTGGACTATCACCGGAGGTCTTAAAGCAACACTTCGTCAGCTCAGATGTAGCAGAGCGTTTGTTGGATACTTCTGATCGAGCGGAGCTTCTTCAGCTGTGTGAAGGAACAGGTGTTTTGCTTCCGGAATGGCAGATAATGTATGGCAAGAGGCGAATACCTCACCAAGAACGTTTGGAACCACTTTTACGTTTATTTTGTGCCGCGTATGTATGGCATTCGCATCGTCCCAAACATGTTCCTCTTGAAAAGTCTTTACAGAACGCACTTGAGTTTATGCGCAAAAAAGCATTTCTCATACTGGAAGCGCTGCAACAGGGAGGTATGGATGCCATGCTGCAACGATCCCTTTTTTTGCTGAAAATGTTGAATCCGCGTGCCAGGCTTGAGGCGATTATGGCTGAATATCAACAGACAGAGGAGCCGATTACAAGTGAATCACGACCTGTAAGCCGACGTTCGATACCAAATGTTAGATCTGTTCCAAGTGTTGCTTCCTCCTCCTGCGATTGCACCGGAAGTCACAGCTTCAGCTTAAAAAAGTGGTTTGGTGCTGGGACGTCGGACTTGTCAAGTCTTCAGTATGACACGGTGGGAAGTCTTCTGGGACCACGTCACTCACTTTTGGGTGTTGCACCTATAAGTGAAGGGATGCAGTCTACTCCTGAAAATACGTCCTCACAGATTTTGAACTTTCTTCTTAGTGGATATAATGGAATGAGCAATGAACAACTTGTACAGGCACTTGTGAAAAAGGCTCAGCAGGCCATGATTCACACGGCTGCATATAAACTTCAAGAAGAATTGTGCGCCGTTCAATTCGATGAGGGTATGACCTCGGCAATAGTGAGTTTGCATCTTCTTTACCGAGAGCTTGCAAATCTACAGTACCATGGATATAAAAAAGGGGATTTGTCAAAGGCAAGTGAACGCATTTCCGCCACCTCAGCTGGCTATTCTCGGTCCGATGCCATGGAACACCACTATATTGAGTATGTGATTGGGTGTGGCTTTGAGAGAGAGCTTGAGTTGCAGAATGCTTCGTGCAGTTTTCTTCACTCTGTTATTCAGCAAAGCTTGTTGAATTCACCTGAAGCTGGAGTGTACAGTAAACAAAAAGGTGGAGTTGAACCCATTTCGCTATGCGCGATGCTGTGCCATCCATGGGACAATGTGGATATGTCCATCATTCGCCCTGCGACAGTTTTTAGGGTTCTAAAAAAATATATATTTTTAGGCCTAGATGATGCCCCAGCTACTGCACCGGAAAATGCGGATGAAAAGAATATCTGGTTTGAGTTTTTAAAGGACTGTGGTATTTTTAGTCTACTTTATCGTGCTGTTATCATACCCAATTCATTGCAGCCTGTAGAAAAAGTCAGCATTGTGGAGGGGGACACCATTGGAGTTCAGGTGGAGGATATGGATGTTTGTTGCTTGGCACGTAATACTTGGAGAGCTCTCAAGGCAGATACCTACATGAATTGTACATCCAACGAACATGATTTCTTTTCAGGCCTATCAAGTGGATGCATTGTAACAGAGATGCCACATGCCCTTTATTTTGAGGTGCATTTAGAACTACTCTTGAAAGAAGGGCTTTTAGTATCTCTTGGAATTACGACTTCTCCATTTGTGGCTACTATGCCAGTGGCAAAGGAGAATGCTGTGGTGTTCTCGTCAGATGGCATGATTTCCTATGGAACATTTACCCATCAATTTAGCACCAGTTGGTTAGTTGGAGATGTGATTGGCTGTGGTATCATGGCACCTTTTAACTCGGTCTTTTTTACACGAAACGGAGAGTTCTTGGGAATTGCCACGGAATGTTCCTTTCAAATAATGCGACCCTTCGTTGCGGCTCAAGCCTCGTCTAGCCTTGTCAAACTCATTGTTAATTTTGGGAGTTATAGCCCTTTTCGGTTTGATCTTGCAACCTTGCATGGCTCATGTCGGGCGCGTCTAAACACATCTCCCATGTTTGGTGATAGCGCGTTTGTGACGGCGCACTATTTGGTGACGCTTTGCTACAGAAATCTACTCAACCATGAAAAAAATGAATCTACCGTAAGTGAGGATTCTGTTTGTGCACTACTGGAAGAAGCAGCCATCTTTCTTCGTGAAACAGTCATGGAATTGGTGCGTCGACTGCGACATATCTCGGTGGCTAATACAGCGTCTTCCACCGCGGTCTTGCGACGTATTTGGGATGGAAATATGCTATTGGCACGATTATTCATTACGATGAATGTTGTTATTGATTGCTTTCGGTTCAATGCCGTAACAAGTACAACACACTTGGAAGTCCTTCGGCTTTGTTCTTTTGCGTTAATTGACGCACATGATCGCTGGGTCAAGGTTTGCGCCGCGCGTTCTTTGAGGAATGTAGCTCGAACGCTTCGACAGGATTACTTTGGAGAGGCGGTGCAGGCTTTGCGACGGTTTATGACACAGGAGACCATTGTGAACGCTCTGGTTGATCTCGCACGGGTGAAACTATTTGTAGAACATGAAACACCAGAATTTGTTCCTCGTTGGCTTGGTGGGACAACTACGGTGATGGGAAAGGGGGCTTTTTACGGTGCTTCACCTATGCCTTCCCGAGGCAGGCATATGATTGGATTTCGTATCCACCGACGTCAGCAGGAAGGTCGAGGTGTGGGTGCTCCATTGGGTGGTTGCTATTACGTGGGTCTCACACATGGACATCCGCCCGTATCGAACATGACAAGCCTCATAAGCAGAGATGATGTTTACGTATTGCAAGACACAGATGATCAAGATCAGGTACCACAGCTACTCTTACGTCGTCACTGTATTCCACGCAATAGTCAACGTCGAATATACGGAAACGATGAGACTGTGTGGTTGGAGCTGAACGCCGACATGGGGGAGATTACATATTACCGAGATGGTATGGTTCCGATTGGGTTGGCCTTTACCAACATTCCATGTGTGGATAATTTATATCCTTTTGTTTTCCATTTCAATGACGACGCCGTTTGTGAATTGATTCAGACCACTACTTCAGTTGAAGATTCACGTGAGTTATTTTTGAGTGGCCTACGCCGCAGTGTGGCGGTTCATACCTTGCAGCAGCTGCATGTTGTTCCATACTTTGGAGATACGGTTTCTCAGTGGATTCACCGATTTTTGACGCGATCGCACCAAGACCTAGACAGCTGCCTTCTTGCCTTGGCAATATTAGGCGGTGAGAAGAGCTATGAATTTTGTCTGCACGAGACACATGGAACCGTTGTAGTGGACTCCGTTTTTGATGTAGATTCAAAGGCTATTGTGTACCTTGAAGCCGATGGGGACATGCGAGTCTTTGCCACACAACTCTCTGACCTCAAACCTTCCTTTGTGAAACCACTTCTTTTTCCCTTTCGGAATCCGACAGCCTACGGTGCTGTGGTTGGCTTTTCGCTGAGCTCTCTCGAAATTTGTTTGAGGCCTCTGCGATTGTGCCATTGATGAGATCTGAGGAGGAAAAACGAGGAGAAATTGAAAGGCATTACTATGACGTGGCCCTTGAAACCATTAAGCTAGTCTTTTTGAGAGGTCTTAACCTCATTCAGGAAAACGTGAGTACAACATCATTGGGTACAGCCTCCACAGATATGCCCTTGTCACTGCTTCAATCGACGTCGCGTTCATTTGTGATGGTGAATGGTTGCCAACCTGCATCTGGGACACCGATAACAATTGATCAACGCTTGTCAACCAGTTCTCTGTATACTCCTAATCCTTCGATTGGGGTAACTTCTGGGAGTGGATACTCTATGATTCGAGGGAATGTGCTTCTTGAGAACGCCTTTACTTTTGCCGTGAGCATTACCACAAAATCTAGCAGCGATGTCTTGTTGTACGTGGGAGTTTCTTCCGAGACGGAGCTTTTCACAGATCCCCAAAAGGTGGTTCATTGTAAGAAAACGTGGGCATTGTGCAGCCACGACGCCGCAGAAACCAATAGTGTCAATTGTTCTGTGGAGCCTGGGATGGTATTTAGTTCTGGACATATTTTGTTTGGTTCAGGCGATCTTATTATTGTTCAATTGGATCGCCGTGAGGGCACAGCATCCTTTTCTCGTATTAGAAGTGGAAAGTCTGTTGAGTTCGGCGTTTTATTTGAAACAATTCCTGAAGGGGAGAAGTTACGACCGTTCGTTTTGGCTGGTGCAGACACTGTCGTGGTGTTTTCTTTTCTGAATTCGCGGGTCTTTCCTGCGAGGAATATCTTTCCTTCTGGGGGGATTGCTGACCGGGAAAGTCATTCCTCGTGGGTGCATTGCAGCTCCTGTGAAGTGGGGTTGTCGAAGTTTTGGTACGAAAGCGAGGGAGGTATATATTTGTGTCAAGAATGCTTCAACAGTTGGCAGTTTCCCAAACTTATGTTTCACTACTTTCGGGTGGAAAATCCACTTCCAGACTACCTTGTCTCGAGACACAGTCCGAAGGAACTGATTCTTGGTGACATTGTTGAATTTGTGGAGAACAACGTACTTACATGGTCGGAGGAAAGAGGCGTCAACGTAAAGGTTGAAGGCGCTGTCTGCTTGGCGAAGAATGACGCAGCTTTTGCCATGCTTGGGCCTCTCAATTCGTTTAGTAACCAACGTGTTGATATTTCGCTGGGGCATGTTGCAGGCGTGGGAGGGTTTTCATTTGGTGGGCTGCAACCCTTTAGTGTGCAGTGGCGAGTTGGGAATATCTTGAAGTCGAGTAGTCGTGTGGAGAGTGATACGCTTCTGGTAAGCTCAACAGTGATACCGCACGGTACACGTGTTGTACTGGAGTTAAAGTTTGCTGCTGAGGAGGGAGCTCGCTTTTTAAACACAGCGGGTTTATTTCTGGGGGTAACAAAGCTTGCGCGTGATTATCGTCTCATCAACATGGCTGAACTTGACCGTTGCATTGCAGAACACGATGTGTGGGGCATATGGTGTGATGCCAACACAAAGGTTTCATCCTCAATCACATTATACCTTCTTGTGGACACCAACAGGGTTTCTGTTTTGGTGAGTTCCTCCCTCTTGGGTCTTCAGATGCACCCTGTTGTGGTCTCATGTACGGGCCTTACCGAGGAGGAAACGAGTCTCCGCGTTGCGGTTTACTCTCGTGATGCTTGTGTTCTCACAGCTACTAGTGGATTTTTGTCTGCAAATAATAGTGTTGTGGAACCAAGTCTTTCACCTGTAGCGGTTGGATTTATTCACGAGGATGCTATTGGACCCTCAACAGATGTCATGCATTCCTCATGTTTTCTCTTTGACACTGTTGCTCACACACTTGCACACGCTTCCGCATCGTGGCAGTTCGCGCCACTTGTGACGGAGGAGGGTTTAGGGATACTTTTTGCCATTGACGATACTCTTACTATAACACGCGATCAGAAGGGGGTGACTGTTTACCGAAATGGATTGCTGCTTGCCACTCGCACATTAACGGCGCACGACAATTTGAAACCCGAACAACTTGTAATTTACTTTTCAACGCGTGGAACGTTTGCGACGCTTGTCCCACCACTTTACGGGAAGTCGCACCTGGGTAAGGTTGTGCGAAGCTACGGCAACGATATTGGCATTGTGGAGTGTTTGTGCCCATGTCCAGGGAAGCGACAATACGCTGTGCGGGCCAAAGATGTCCGCTTTTGTGCTCTTGCCGCAGATTTTACTGGACTGAAGCCGGATTCTCGGGTGGCATTCAAAGCTGGAAGCCTTAGTGTACCGAGGCGAGGCACTGTGATGTTGATTGAAAATAACTCCGTCAATGTACGTGATGAAGAAGAGACACGGACGTGGTTTTCGCTTCAATTGTCTTCTTTATATATTGTGGACAATGAGGGGCCTCACCAAGTGCTTCAAGGATTGTATGCTCTCCCCACGCTACCGACAAGCACAGTTACGCGTGTGTTTGAAGTTGGCAGGACAAAGTACCGACCACAACGCAATGGTTCTTACAATGGAATTATGTTTGACCTCCTGGCACACGATACGATAGTGCTGACGGGGTTGTCTGTCATGACGCATACAACTGGACGACATAGGGTGGATGTGTTTTTTAAGAAGGGCTCGCATCATATGCATGAACGTGAGGCAACAGCATGGACCAAAGTGTTTTCCAACTTTGTCGATATGCACTCGGAGCGTCAGTTTACTGTTAAATTTAGTGGCATACAAATTGAGTCGAATGCAACTTTTGCTCTCTACATCAATGCAACCCACAATTGTGGCATTGGGCATTACTCCATAGAAGATGGCTGTTCTGGGGCTATTTCCAGTACAATGGACTCGGATGGCATTCTTACAGTTTTTGTGGGACGCATAAGTGAAAGCAGCTCACCCTTTTTGGAAACTGTTTCTACCCCGCGGGGCTTTTGTGGCTCCATCATGTACACGCAGAACAAAGACACGAGGCCAGCACTCATTGAACGAGCCCCAGCGCATTTGGAAACTGTACACGATAATAATGATGGATATGACGATGTTGTTTTTCTCCAAAGCCTTCCCGTCTCAACATGTGCGGTTTCAAACATGGAATTTGTTATGGAAGTCTTTGATGATCCCGTTTTGGTTCGGAAATTTGTCTTTCCAATTCTTATCGGTGCTGGTGTTAAGCAAACTAAAGGTCGGACGCAGCTCGCCTTGTCACTGTTTTATTCCCTGTTGGATAACCTTTCTGTTGATGCAGAAAACACGGAGCGGAAATGGGTTTGGGTCTACTACGCCATGAAGCCCCTTCGAAGCGACATGTATGAACTCTGCATGGATGATCTCGTTCTTTTGTTGAAGCAGGGTCGGTATATTTTTACAGCCATTTGCTCAACAATTGAGGGGTCTTTGGAGGAGAGAAAAAGTGCCAGGCTTTCATGTTTTCTGCAACCCAGCGACACGCATTATACAGTAAAAAATAGCTTTTACAGTGTGCAAGGCTTTGTGGGTGACATTGTTGCCACTACCACAAGTAATATCATAGCATGTAATGAAGTTTGCTCTATTTTTACTGGGGGACGTTTGAATCAAAACAATTCCGCATCATACAATGGAATTATGTTTGACATCCGTAGCAGACGGGATATTTTGCTGGAAGAAATTTTTTGTGTTGCACAGACAACAACAGACAACGTGAATGTGAAAGTCTTTTGGAAGGAGGGTAGTATGCAAGGTGCCGAAAAAATGCCACCTCAATGGCAGGAAGCTATTTCTAAAGATATGCACCTCTCCGATAAACAGTTCTTTTCCCCTGGCCCACTTAACTTGCATCTTCGGGCAGGGCAGGTGTACGCAATTTACGTTAATACAACTTCAAGTTGTGGTGTACGTTTTTACAACCGCAGTGATGGCCATTTGGGGGATGTTGGGGATGAATTTGAGGATGATGGGATGCTGACAATTTTTGTAGGTAAGAAAAGTGAGTCACCGTTGCCGTTTACAGAAATTCCAGCAGAACCGCGGGCGATTCGAGGGCGTATCACGTATCGGACCTTTATCCAAAAGGCGCCCTTGACGCGAAACCATGCCGTTTTTCCTGCATTGAGAGGCTTGGTGGTGGTACGCATCTTGGCAGCATTGATTGCCTACGTTGGTGATGCCTCTTTTGCCGCCACCCTGTTTGAGGACGAAACCGTTATTGGTGTCCTTGCAAAACTTGCCACGGCGAATACAACGAACTCTTGCGACATGGAAGTGGCAGGAAATCTGCTAAGTAGCACTATGAAGGGGAACTTTGTTGATGAATTGCGTGATGGCGTGGTTATTCTACCACTTTTTGCGCAAGAGACTGCACGCTTTAGTTCCTTTAGTAAAGGGGACCTTGCTCTAGTGGCAAATACCGGTGATGCAGACCTTTCAGGTCAGCTGGTTCGTCTTGCTGAGGACCCAGATGAGAATTGGCGTGTGTTGGCGAGGTGTGAGTCTAATCCCAATCAACATGTGACACTTTCCGTGGATCATTTACTTCCTATCATTAGTTGCGTGGATTGCAATCAACCTTTTTCTACGCAAGAGATTTGCTACAAAACTGGAAAAAAACATATGCCCTTTTTGCGTGAGGATGAGCAACTTATTAGTGTCTTCTCAAGATACTTAATTATGCAGGGATCTTTGAATGCGGAGACCAGTGCGGCATGTGTGAAATCTCTTGTGCTTGATCCCACATCTCATACATGTTGCGTGGATTTACAAATTCCTACGGCACAAATAGAAGGTGGTGTCGCTGTCACTTGTGATGGTTGCATCTTGGAGTACACGATATCTCCTACTCTTTTACTTGAGGGAAAAGAGGACGTAAAATCACTAGGATTTGTTTGTCCCTTTACATATCATGAAATTATGGGGGCATTTGTGTCCGTTTCCTTTACACGCGTTTCAGGTGTTTGGGAGATGATTTTTATTTCGGATCTTCCACTCCGTCTTGGCGTCGATACCCCTGTGAGATTTTTCTTTTTGTCACCAGAGGTTATTCTTCGAGATGGCACACGACAGGAATTATTCTCAGCATCAAAAATGTACTGTGCTGTGAAAGGGGGTCCCATTCATCACAAATTACCCACATTGGTGTCTCTGCTACACTACTCGTGTATCTCCAGCGATGGTTGCATTCATTTTTCCTTGAGTGTGAAGGAAATGGATTTTCTCGCTACACCGCCTTTGGCCCTCGCGTCAGTGCAAAGCTGGACGTGGGAGGGTGGCCGTGAGTCAGCCCAGCTGCAGCCAAGCAAAAGTTGTGCCTTGCAAGGTCCATTTGATTTTGCAAATTGGCCAGCAGAGCGACCTCGATTCTGGCAGTTTTCAGTGACCTCGGAAACAAACGAAAAGGTTTTTTTTCTGGAGGTTCATTTTGTTATACCTAAGTCAATTACTACCGTATTTTTGGGCACAATCCGAAATCATACTATTCGGTGCAGTTTTAGTCTTTCTAGGAATGAAGTGCTTAGTCTTGCACTTACAGTTGATGGTGATTTTTTGATTTACGACGAGGATGACAACATACGGTGTCACGTTGCAATGGAGGATCTTCAGTTGGGCTCTCCGAAGGGCTTATCACCAAAGATAGCTCTTATGAATGTGGGGTCGGATGCAGTGACGGTTCATCTGCATGCCCCAAGTGTTATCAAGGGTGCTAGACCCGTCATGTGCCTCACTGATGACGCAACAGATCCTTGTTCTTACGTCCCCAAGTGGGTTTCCTACGAACCGCTTAATGTGAGTATTTCCAGGAATGGTCTCACGGCCAGATGTTGTAAAGAAGGAGGCCAAGCCGTTATTGGATCACCTCTTCCAATGACAGGATCATCCGCATTTGTCATTCAAATGGATCGTTCGGATCGTGCACGTGGGGATTCACTGGGGTCTGGACATTTTGCGGGTATTGTGACGTCGACGTTTCATCAACTGACGCCACACTTTGGATCCATGTGTAAAGAAGTTGACAGTGTCTGGGCTGTGCAAGACGTGTATGATGCCGACTCGTTACCGACGCAGGAGCTTATTCCTCCTCTTGGGCCCTCTAGCAATCAAATGTTTTTGGTCGGAACACATTTGCACTTTCTTTTGAATCGTGAAGATGGAACCCTCTCGTTGGCACGAGACAATGAATCACCAAGGGTTGTCTTTCGTAACGTACCCTCGAATTTGCCCTTGTCGCCCTTTGTTCGTTTGGATCACGCCACAGCGTCGGCGACCATATCGGCCTTTTCCTGCACAGCGTGGGGCAATGGAGGGATTTTAACTTCACCGTCTATGATACTCAGTTCCCAGCCTATCACACCCACGATTCTTCGTCGTCTTCCGTATAGTGTGGTGTTTTCCATGTTTTCCGTGTTTCGTCATGTTGTTGGGCTTCTACCATCTCAACAAGTAAGTCTTGTCGAAGAGGCTTGGAGTGATCGCTTTAACTGTTCCCGCTTTGCTTACCGATTAACACGTGCCGTTCAAGTACTTGTGGAGGTGGGTGCTTTCTCAAGGCGCATGGCCTACGTAGAGGCAGAAGAGGCGGAACTTTTTTGTGTTAGAGAGGAGGTTCAAAAAGTTATCCGTGGTCTCTCTGAATCCGAGCAAAAGGCTGTGGTTATTCATTCCCCTGGTGGGGGTGAGGATAATGTCATTCTGCTTTTGCCAGACAAGTACGAGGTAATCGGATATAGGAACAGTGATTGTATGATACACCTCTTGTATTTTGCCGAGGACGGTCCAAGGGAACGAACACTTCACCTTTTTCGCTTTGATGACAGCGAGGTATTTATCAATCCCTGTAACCTTGTTACGAGGCATGTATGCGTGATGCACCAAGAAGAAATTATTCAACCCCTGGGAGATTCCTCTTGGTGTGGGATCATAACATCTGGGTGGTACGACTGTACCATGGATTCGGTGCTTGTAGATACACTTAATGAGTGTCAACAGAGGGTTATTGCAATGTCACTCGTTGGTGCCTTGGAACACTGGCACTTGCACCACTTGCCTCATGGACACGTGAGTTCCAAGAATGTGTACCTTCGAATAGTTGGGGAGAATGTGGTTGCATGCACCTTGTGGAATGTTCACTGTTTGCTTCGGCAGGATCCTTGTGCCTCTCCTGGGCTGCGACTTTATGGAAGGCGGGATATGGAAAGTGACAGGTGGAGTTGCGCTTATGTTCTTACTAAGCTTTCGTGTCTATTGAAGGCAGGTTCCAAATTTAGCAACGTATTGAAGCTTTTACGGAACCAAAGTTTGACTTTTTCAGAGGTTCTTGACCAAGCAGGAATTTTTGCGGAGGAATTGAAGCGGCCCGTGGAAGGACAGGTGCTTTGCCTTCGAACAGGGGACCACCTTGGCGCAGGGGCTGGCTCATATAATGGTATCATGTTTGACGTGGTCGCCAAACACGTCAAGGTGAATGTGACAAAATTGAGTTTTGTTCCCGATACGACAAGTTTGACTCGCGTGTCTCTGTTCATTCATGATGGAACTTTTATGGGTGTGGAAACTGAAAGCACGGATTGGCGGCTTGTTCTAGATCAAGAGATAAAGCTTCTTGACAAGCGCGAGACGGAGTTAACAGACTTTGATCCCATTCCTATTCCAGCTGGGGAACGTGTGGCATTCTTCCTTCACACGACAAGTGGCAATGGTGTGCTTTTTTACTCTGAAACGGATGGTGTGAGAGCGAATATGGCAGCTGTGGAGGAAGAGAATGAACACATAGGTATTACGGTTGGAAAGAAATCGGAGAATGTGGTACCTTTTATGGGCATTCAGAATCAAAAACGATTACTGAGAGGCAGTATTACGTACATGCTACCCTCGCAGACCGGAGGATACAGGAGCTCAGTGATAACAAGTTTATGTGAGAGCCAAACTCTTTTGCAGGAGCAACAACCTCAAAATCCGTTTGGGAGCCCTGCGATTGTGGCTGGATCCCGCCCTGGTTTGGTACTCGATTTGGATGAAGACGAGTATCTTGTCTTCACAGGTGAAAATTGTGAGTGGTTGCACAGACATCTCATCAGGAAGGTCAGCTTTATGGAATCCTCTGAGTTTGTAAAACTGGAATTGGCCCTTCACCAAATCCTCTGCAAGAGGCGAAAACCTCCATGGGCGATGCGGCATCAATACTCGTGCAATCATCCCCTTATCTTTCACAAACGAACGCAGTCAACTACGGACAATGAAGCATTGCATTCGACAGGGGTATGGTGGGTCTCTGATCCCATCACGGTTTCCTGCTTTGTCTCGGTATGGCAAGTTGTCTCCATGACAGAGACTTCATTACGCCTATTAACATCAGCAGAGTTGGTTTCACTTTCAACTTCCACCCTAGAAAGTGTCTTGAATCATGGACAGGCCTTTTTGCACATTGACGAATGGGCACGAAGCGTGATTTCATCGGACGACACGCCTAAAGTGGTGAGACGATTGGCGTGTAGTCTTGCTGAAGATCATCTCTATTTGGTCTTTGGTCCCACAGGCTCAGTCGCCGTGAATGCCCCACTGGTAGCTTATCTTAATCGTCGTACAGAAGATGTAACTGTCAAACCCGCGACTGCTACAGCCGCTCTTGTTTCAGTCCGTCCAGGTGCATGCTTTCAGGAGCACTTTCTCTTTAAGGGCGCAATGTTAAAATGCTTTTCCGAAGATGGTAAAACACCACTGTTTTCCAAAGCAGCTTCTGTCGCGTCTCAGAGAGCTATTCGTGTTACCCAACTGCCTTCCTTGTATCCACAGAGGCAAGTGTCAGCGAATAGGACGACGAAGTCGATAACAGCGATGATGGAACAGCGGCAGCATCTCTCACACTTTTTTTTGGAAATGGGATCGCGGGAGAATTGGATCAGTCAAGCTGTCACAATACATACTCAATTTGCGCCCCTTGAGGTGTCTAATCGATGCGTTCGGCAAACAGCACACGGTGGTCCTTTTAACTGCATTGTGGCCAAACCTTTTTTTGGTGGAGAAAAGATTCACGAAGTGGAACTTTCTATCATGAGTTCAAATTGCCACTCGGTTCAGCTAAGCTTTCAGCATTTACCCACGGGTTGGTCTCTTCCAGTCCCACTGCCACTGTTTAAGCATTATGAAGATTCCTACCTTTCTTCCTCGGGGGGTGTTCAATGTGTTCATCTTTTTATGCGTGTGTCTTCACAGGCAAAACGGGCCTTTGCATCAGTCAATGGTGGAATGATTTACGAAGTCATTCCAAATGCTGATTGCCCCTCGGAGTTTCAGTTAGCCATTTCTCTATCTGGTATTGCCTCTTCGGTCCGGGTCCTGCGTTGGTGCGTACTTGATAAAGTTGCTCCAATCATCTCACAGGATTTGCTAGAGACGGTGTGGAACCGATTAGGGGTGACATGCATCTCTCCCAATGTATCTCACTTTGTAGGGGCGTTGACGAGACATTCGCGAGCAAACTTAAATTTGACCGCCTCGCGTAAGAGAGACATAAGTCTTGTCTCTCAGATAGAGGCTGCCATGGTGTTGTATGCTAGGCAACTTTTAGGAAAAGTCATTTTGAGGTTCAAGGCACCGAGTTTAAACGAAAAACCGCATTTATTACTTCCATTTACACCGTTGCGTGGGGATTTGTTGGCCTTGGAAACGCTTGTTGGAACAGAAATGCGGAGGTCATCCTTTTTTTTGCTTGCATCTGCGTATGCCTGCCTTGCAACGCCAACAGTGGCTCAGAACGTAGAAAAGGTGGAGACAAGTGTCAATCTTATCTTTGTCTCCTTAAGCAATGAGAGTGTTGTCCAATTTCTTTCCACCGCATTTGGTTCAACGTTAACTCTCTTGCTGCTTCGTACCGCCACTATATACACTCGATCGATTAGGCATATGGCACTTCGTGGCGTTCTTCAGTTACTCAAGATGGATCAATGCGCTTTGCCTTCGCATGAGGTCCTCTGTGCATCCTTTGATCCTCTGCTGCGGATGATGAATGGCCTGTGTTGGAAAGGGAGAACCTCATCTGTTGTAGTACAACTTGGTATTTCACTCATTTGCGAGCTGATACGACGCTATCAATTGGAACGTCCGACACTAACACCGCCGGGAAAGAAGTCAGCTGTTCCTTACGCGGTAGCTGCCGCTACAAAAATTGCACTTTATGCTATTACAAGCAATCCGCCTGCTCCCTTACCGTATGCCTTTACCGCTGAGCCTAATGAAGTGCATCGTATTGAGTATGAATTGCGTACAGGAACCGCCTCTAATAAAGGAGTTGGATTTTGCTATGGGGTGTTTAGTGAAACATTTCGCCCTAGCTTTGGATCAAAGCGTTTTGAAGTGGTTTTAAATCCTGCACGGAAAGGGAACGTGGTTGTTGGGTGGGAAATGGATGCAAACTTACCTGGATCTCGTGCTTCCAAGCCAGCTCAGGCGGAAGAGATGTCAAGAAGAGTTCAATTACCCTCCTGCGGATATTCTATTGATCCTGGCGGTAAAGTTTATGCTTGCCTTAGTCATAAAAGAGAGTCTCAGCCTCTGAAAGCTCGAGCAAAAGGGGGAGATGTGCTGATTGTGAAATGTTTGTACCATGAAAAGGCTGTTATTGTAACACATCGGCGCGGTTTACGCAATGAAAGTGTCACCCGATTTGAGACAGACCCTAATGAAACCCTGGCGCTTCCTGTGTATTTTGCGGAGCGAGAGGAGGATGCAATCTTCAATGGTGAACACCTTGCGGACGTTTCTGCAGGCATGAGTGCTACCCAACTCTACGATAGATTACAAGAATTTCCCGATCGTCTTGATACGGGGGTAGTTCCTCAGTCGTATGATTTTTATGCGGAGTTGTCTTTTTTTTGTCAAACCGTGGTGAGTTCAGAAAAGCTTTGTGCTTCGTCTCAAAATGACGCCGTCATAACAGTTCACGCACACGATTTAGCTGGGCTTCCATTTTTATCGGAGTTTCTTGGTGCTGGCGCATTTAGCAGTGAGGTTCCATTGGATTCTTTGGTTCCATATGTGAAGCGGCTACAAATTTTTGATGTTCTGACCTCAGTCCTTTCTGTTGTGGTGGATCTCCGGCGAAGGACGGAGTTATTTGAGTTATGGAGAAAACTTAAATTTTTATGTTCTGCGGAGTCTTCTGAAAAAATTCAAAATGACACAATGCGACCGTTTCGAAATCGTTCAGGGCATAAAGCGAGTGTGATTATTCATACAATGCAGGCAAGCCCTTTGATGCGTCTGGGACTGTATCCAACGCTTATGCGTTCCATCTTTGGTCAATTGTTTGTGCAGCTTCAGAAAAGCCCGATTTCCACGTTTTATGCCTCCCCTATGTTTACCGTGAAACTTGCAGGATTTGGTTCAACAGATGCTGGTGGGCCCTATCGTGATATCCTTTCACAGTTAGCCACAGAAATTATGACGACGCACCCAAATGGGGCATTTCAGTTAAATCCTCTCTTCGTGCAATGTGGTCGTGGCGGGCAATCTGCCGTGATGCCCAACGCGTCCATGGCTCTCAACTCTCAGTTGTCGCTTATGTTTGAGTTTTTTGGGAAGCTTCTTGCATCTTGTTTTCTGACAAAGGATCTTCTTGCCGTGAAGTTTCCACCGCTGTTTTGGAAATCTTTGCTTGTAGAGGAAACCACATGCCGGGATCTCACTGCCATTGACCTTGACATCATGCGCCAATTGACCCCAGAGGAACTTATGGACCTAACCGCGGACGAGCTTGAGGAACGATTTCCAGGCATTTTAGAAAATTGGTCTCTCTTTGTGACTGAGAATTCTCATCTGAACCTGGAAGCGGAGATTCCACCTTCGACAATTCGCTCAGCAAGGATACTCGGCGAACATATTTCTATGCTTGAGCTCCACAAGTACGACACAGCACTGAACTACATCCAGCGTGGCTTTGACGAGGTGGTGCCGCTGTACACACTTAACGCGTTTCGTTGGCAACAGGTTGAGTTGATGATATGTGGGACACCAAAACTCTCATACGACGCATTACTGGAGGTGTGTCAAGTGACATTGCCTCCTAGAGATGCACGTATGTTTTTGGATGTTCTCGCCTTCATGACAGATGAAGATCGAATGCTGCTGTTGCGATTTACCACCGGTCAAACACGACTACCACTGCGGGAATCCATTAAAGTTCAACAGAGTGGAACGCATGATTCCCTCCCAACCAGTAGCACCTGCTTCTTTACACTTCGTTTGCCTTCATACTCTTCGTATGATGCCATGCGTGAGAAGATTCTCTACGCAATTCGACAGTGCAAAGCGATTGACACAGATGGGCAGGCACGGGAACATATAATTCTAGACAATTGATTCAGAATGTACGAAATAGTGAGCAAGACAATGTGTCGTGCATGCTTATAATATCATCTCCGCCAAGCTTACACACACACACACACACACACACATCGATGAGGAAGCACAGAACACCAGTAAGGAGACAAAGTGAAAGAAATAGAATATTCTTGCCGAGCAGCATGCCTTTGCCTTAATGTTTTCGCATAACGGCCATTAGTGAGACGTGCATGGCAAAGGAAGCAAGCCGACATACACCAAGAGGGGGGTTTCATGCGGAAATTTGTTAAAACTAGGCCAGGGGGACCCGTGCGTATATGTGGTTGTCTCGATACTATTCTTGTTACTTCCATTTTGTTTGTTATTACCCTCTTTATTTATTTCTCTCTTGCTCATCAGTACCCCATTTTTTCCAGCTGTCTTCTGGCTACTCCTGCGACTACTCGCTTTTCCCCTCTTCTTCCAACCCGTTCTTCTGCTGGCACAACCGTTTTGCCGAGGCTATTTGTGCGGTCTTGCTATACTACCAAATACTTTTTGCCGCTACACGTCATGGCTGTTGGTCTTCCCGCGACCTTCGCCGCTGGCTGCTTTTGGGGGACCGAAAGGTTCTTCGTCAAGCGCTTTGGGGACGCCTTGATTTCGCACCAAGTGGGGTACATGGGAGGCACTGAGGCTGACGAGATTACGTACCCGATGGTCAAGAAGGGCGACACCGGGCATGCAGAGGTGCTGCACCTCATTTACAATCCGGACAAAGTCACCTACCAGCAGCTGCTTGACTTTTTTTTCCGCATTCACAACCCAACGACGATGAATCAGCAGGCGGGCGACATCGGCACACAGTACCGCAGCGCCATTTTTTACCACAATGAGCAGCAGTTGCAGGAGGCCAATGAGTACATTTCGAGGCTCAATGGTGCGGACCCGGCGCTTCGTGCCGCCTTTGTGAAGGCCTTTGGAGATGTCCAGGTTGTCACCTCGTTGGAGAAGGCGGCACGTTTTTATCGG